ATCACTCACAAAGGACAAATATGACAAACATCCCCTCCCAACCATATGTAGGGCCTTCAAGTAAGAAATTACCCTGCTGGGAACATAATCTAGAGAACCTCTCCAATTGACCTTCGGCAACCCCGACATCGCCACGTCACGGTTTTTGTGTGACAGTCCAGAATAGCATGACAGTGAGACAACTAATCCATACCCAGGATTACATCAAAATCAACCATACTGAGCAATAAGAGATCAACTCTAGTCTCCAATCCCCAAATAGTTACCACACACGACCGACATACACGGTCCATAATAATAGTATCGCCCACCAGTGTAGATACACGAACAGGAGAAACTAAGGACTCATGGGGAATATCCAGATAATGAACAAAATACGATGATACATATGAATAAGTGGAACCAGGGTGAAATAATATAGAAGCCTCCCTATGACACACTGAAATAATAAGTGTGATCACTGCATCCGAAGCAACGACATCTAGCTTGGTAGGAAAAGCATAGAATCAGGCTTGACCACCACCTGATAGGCCTCCCCCTCTTAGGCGACCCCTAACTCTCTGAGCCCCACCCCGAGCAGGTTAGGCAAGTGGTGGCGCAACTGGTGCAGAAGTAGTAGCCTGACTCCTCTGCTGAACTGGACCTCGAGTAAGGCGGGGAAAACATTTCCTCACATGACCCAGCTCTCCACACTCATAGCACTCCCTCTCAAAGAATGGTGGCGAGTTCTAATGCGGACCTCGAGAACCAGAATAACTACCAGAAGAACCTACTACAGATGATCCCTAAACTGAAGGAGCACGGGGCGTACTCTAGGCTGGAAGGGCACCAAAAGATGGCTGACCCTGATGAGAACTGTATGAACCATGGCTGGTTGATGCATCACGGTGAACTGGATGATCCGTCTGTATGCAACTAGCTGGGCTGGAAGTGCCCTCGGTATCTGAAGTCCCTGTACTACCTGATCTAGAGTACGGGTAACAGGGGTATGAGTACCTCCCCCGGCCTAAGAAGTGGCAGGTGCGGCCTGAGCCGAAACCACATGAGCAAGACTAGTGCAAACTGTCAATATCTAGGCTAGTTCCTCTTGAAGGCCTAGAATCACAATAGGTGCAGCTGGTGCCTGAGCTGGTCTTGTCGGCTCAGCTATATCTGGAATCTGCTCCTGAGTTAGAGCAATTGGTGGTGCTACAGGTGTTGTTCCAACTGATGTACGAGTTGCACCTCGACCTCAACCTCAGCCCCGGCCTCTACCACGGCCCCAGCCTCTCGCGGCCCTAATTGGTGGCATTGGTGGCTGACCATCCGATCCGGTAGTACGTGTCCTCACCATCTGTGAGAGAATAGAATAACAAAAATTTAGCTTTCGAAATCAACAAATTCGCACAACAGAATGCAAGAAGGTGAAATTTTCCTAAGGGTTCGGCTGCCTCTCAAAGATAAGTACAGACATCTCTGTACCGATCCGCAAGACACTACTCATCCTGCTCATGACTCGTGAGACCTATGTAACCTAGAGCTCTGATATCAACTTGCCACGACCCAAAATCTTACCTTTCGTGGTGGCGCCTATCTCAATACTAGGACAGACGACAATCTCAATAAATCACCATATCATTTAAGTTTGAAAAACATAATATTTAATTTCAGCGGAAGAAATCTCACAAATACAGATATAAATACTCCCAAAACCCGGTGTCACTGAGTACATGAGCATATAATATGAATACAAAGTCTGACTGATAAAAACTCTATCTGAAAGTATACAACAATACAATAACTGGAAAAAAAAAGAGTCAAGGTCAGCGGACTCCAGGCAGCTACCTTGATTAACTCCAACTGATAGCACTCTGAGATCTAACAGTCGCTGTGTCCGAAAGCACCTAGATCTGCACACGAGGTGCATAGTATAGTATGAGTACAACCAACTCAATAAGTAACAAAACTAACCTCTGGGCTGAAAGTAGTGACGAGCTCCGTAGCAATAGTCCAGTATAAATAATGGTACAGAAATGTAGGCATGCTTTCAAGTTCAACAGTTAAACTCAGTACAAGTGAAATAGATCAATACTGCATGATATGAGAAATATGACATCTCAGTAGAAAGCCCTCATGTAATACTGATCACAAATCATTCGATCACTCGGTACTGTGTATGGTCAATCTGGCCCAGGGATATTCCATCTGTATATATATACACATCGACTAACAGTCAGTCACTCAGTATTATATAAGACCAATCCAGCCTTGGGGTAATTTATCCCACAAATGTAAATGATATGGACAAGATCCATGTCCAGGAAAATTCATCACAATATAAATAAGTAAGGCAAGTCCATGCCCTGGGAAGTCTATCCCGAATATATAATCATCTACGCTCACTAGGGGTGTGTATAGACTCCGAGTGGCTCCTTCAGCCCAAGCGCTATATAAAGCCGATATGGCCTACTGCGGCGTGCAGTCCGATCCCATAATAATAATAAAGCCTATAAGGCCTGCTGCAGGCGGGCAACCCCGATCCATATAATAATGATATATATAAAGCCAATAAGGCCTGCTGCGGCGCACAACTCGATCCCATAAATATCCTCACAATGGGTGAATATGACTGAGTGTGAAATGTACATTTTTAAAATAATTAATTTAACAGCAACACGAGCCCATGGATCCTAAAATATTGGCACGTAGCCTAATTATGATCAAGAGCCTTAGCAAAAATTTCTCTAACATGTGGGAAATATTCAGATAATAACATGATTCTTTAATTTTTACAACTTCGCAGAATTTATTCAAGTCACAATTTCAATAGTTCACGTCCACACACTCGTCAACTATAGTGTGTGTCACCTCCAAACAATTTATATAACACCAATTCGGGGATTCATACCCTCAGAACCACGTTTAGATGTATTACTTACCTCAAACAGTGTAATTTCTTACTCCGATATGCCCTAGCCTGTGAATTGGACTCCAAATGCCCCGAATCTAGCCACAAATAATCTGATTCAGTTAATAAAAATTATTGGAATTAATTCCATATAAAAATACAAATTTTCCAACAAAAATTTGAAATTTAACTCAAAAATCGCTTGTGGGGCCCACGTCTCGAAATCCGATAAAAGTTACAAAATCTGAAAGCCCATTCAACCACGAGTCTACCCATACCAATTTTACCTAATACCGACATCAACTCGACCCTCAAATCTTCAAATTAAACCAAGAGGGTTTTCTAAAATTTCTAACTTAATTCACTCATTAAATGTTAAAAACAACCATTGATTCGGGTAATTTGACCAATAATGAGTTAAAAACACTTACCCCATTATTTTCCTTGAAAATCTCCCGAATATCCTCAATCTCAGAGCTCCAAATCAGTAAAAATGGAAAATGGGACGAAGTCCTATTTTCATAACTTAAACTCTCTGCCCAGTCATTTGCTCTACGCGATCGCGAACAACCACACGCGATCGCGAAGCACAATTTTCCACTGCCATATTTTAACCCTATGCGATCGTGGATTCATTCATGCGATCGCGAAGCACAGAGTCCTCAGCTCTATGCGATCGTGGACAACCACACGCGATCGCATAGAGAAAACGCGTGGCCCATCTTCCCCTCCAATTCCCCTATGCGAATGCGGCATTTCCCACGCGTTCGCGTAGCACAGCCTGGCCAAACCCACGCGATCACGGATGTCTTCACACGATCACATAGCACAAAATCTCACTGCTCCAACTTAGCCTATGCGATCGCGGACATTCTCATGCGATCGCGTAAAAGGAAACCAGTGACAGAAAACCAGTATTCTTCAGCTGGAATGCCAAGTCCAAAATTGATCTGTTAGCCGTCTGAAACAAACCCGAGGTCCCCTAGACCTCAACCAAATATACTCTCAAGTCCCAAAACATCATACAAACTAAGTCGAACTCTCAAATCACCTCAAACAATGCTAAAATCACGAATCATACCCCCAATTCAAGCCTAATGAAACTAAGAACTTTCAACTTCTACATTCAACTTCAAAACCTATCAAATCAAGTCCGATTGACCTCAAATTTTGTATACAAGTCATAAATGATATAACGGACCTGTTCAAATTTCCAAAATCAGATTTCGACCCTGATATCAAAAGGTCAACTCCCTAGTCAAACTTTCCAAAAATTCAACTTTCGCCATTTCAAGCATAATTCCACTACGGACCTCCAAATAATTTTCTGTACACGCTCCTAAGTCCAAAATCACCATACGGAGCTAACGGAACCATAAAAATTCAAATCAGGGGTCATTTATACATAAGTCAATATCCTGTCAAATTTTTTAACTTAAGTTTTTAATTATGAGACTAAGTGTCTCATTTTACTCCGAAATCTTTTCGGACCCGAACCAGCTAACCCGGTAAGTCATAAAATAAATGTAAAGCATAAATTGAGCAGTAAATAGGAGAATGGGGTTAAAATACTCAAAACGACCGGCCGAGTTGTTACAGGAGGCTCTCGCCCAACTACATCTAGTGCTGCTTCTGCACCATCTAGTGGATACAGGCAGAATCTTGGAGGGGATGTACAATTTGATAGTTATAATCGATTGATAATCGTCCCCTGCGAGGATGGGTAAGAAGGTTCTTATACTATTTTTTAAGTTTTGAATGTACTTTTAGATATGTTAACATTAAGGAATATTTATTTATAATTAAAACTTTTGAAACTTTAAGATGTTTATTAATTATATATATGTTAACTTTAATGCAGGTTTTTGCCATCCTTTCAATCTACATATTTTATTGTGGATTCTATGAAGCCATTTTATCATGAGTCATGGAATTCTTGGAGACATATACCGTACAGAATCAGAGAGCAAATGTGGAATCAATTTAGGGTAAAAATTGATTACATTTATTTAATAATTATCGTCTTCATCTAATGTCACTTCTTTATATTGAAGACAAAGTGTACATGGAATTCTCAGCATCAAAATGAAATAAATAATATTTTCGAGAAGAAGGCTGCTAAGCGGATTAAAGATACTCTGTTCGCTGCTCGAAATGTTGGTAAAATGCCGGAGTGGTTAAGAGAAGATGTTTGGGATAAACTTCTTGAGAAATGGAATACCGTAGAATGGAAGAACAAGAGTGAACAAGCAAAGGCAAACCGTGCCTCCAATAAAGGTGGCTCATTGCACACAGGAGGTTCGATTAGTTTTGCGACCCAGAAACTAAGATTAGTAATTACTTATAAAGCAATTCTTAGTTTTACATATACAATTTTACGATTGTAATGTCTAACACATACTTTTGTTATCAAGGAATAGGAAAGAGGGCGAGATATGAGTAACGCTGAGGTCTTCGAGGAGACGCATAAGGAAAAAAAAAAAGAAGGATGGTACAAGAGAACACTGGATGGATACGTGTGTGTCAGACACATGTAAAATACTAACTTCATAATTATTTATGATTTATTAATATTAGTTTGTTTACATGATAGTTATGTTTTCATTTCCGAAAAATTATCATAAAAGGGTGGGAAAATTGCAACAAACTCAGCCGCATTCAACTCAACCAACGCCTAATGGTATGGCATCATTATGGACAGACGCAGCGGGTGGAGTAAACAAAGGCAGAGTCTACGAACTTGGCGTACGTCAACCTATAGGTCTGTGATGACCCAAAATGGCATCTTTAATTTAAATATTCATTTCTATGTTATAAGACCTCGAAAAGAACTATTCATCACTCCTCAACTTGCGTGCACAGTCCGTATTATTTTTCGGAAAGTTTTTATGTGAAAAATGGATTAAAATGTGAAATAGAGCCTTAAAACTCAACTGAGTTGACATTGGTCAATATTTTGAGCAAACGGACTCGGATCAGTGTTTTGAAAGCTTCGGTAGGTCCGTATCATGATTTGGGACTTGGGCGTATGCCCGGAATCAAATTCGGAGGTCCCTAGCTCAAATTGTCGCTATTTAACGGAAATTAAAAATTTAAAGGCTAAAGATTTCCAAAGTTTGACCAATGATTTGACTTTTGGATATCAGGGTCGGAATTCAATTTTGGAAATTTGAATAAGTCTGTTATGTCATTTATGACTTGTGTGCAAAATTTGAGGTCAATCGGACTTGATTTGATAAGTTTCGGCATCGAATGTAGAAGTTCAAAATTCTTAAGTTCCTTAAGCTTGATTGGGGTATGATTAGTGGTTTTAGCATTGTTTGATGTGATTTGAGATCTTGACTAAGATCATATGATGTTTTAGGACTTGTTGGTATACTTGGTTGAGGTCCCGGGGGCCTCGGGTGGATTTCGAATAGTTAACGGATCAAAATTTGGACTTAAGGAAAATATGGAATTTGTGGCCTTCTAGTGTAATCACACTTGCGGATTTTAGACCGCATATGCGAGCTCGTAGAAGAGAGCAAGGACTCGCAGAAGCGGATGGGGCGCCGCAGAAGCGCGACCACAGAAGCGGCACAAGCATCGTAGAAGCGGGAAAAGGGGAAGGGCAGCCTTGTCGCAGAAGCGAGTCCGCAGAAATGATCCAACCCGCAAAAGTGACCCAGTCTCCTCAAAAGTGGAACCGCAGATGCGGTGAAGTATCCGTAGATCTGAAAAAGCCTAGATAGAACCGATAAAATCGGAAATTAATCATTTTTACTCATTTTTTAGTTTTGAGTCTCGGATTTAGGCGATTCCAAAGGGATTTTTCACGACTTTGAATTTGGTAAGTGTTCTATAACCAAAAGTGATTATATTTCATAAATCCATGTCTATATTTATCATTTATTTCAGATTTAGATGGAAGACATTGGAGTTTTTGTAAAACTTTTCAAAACCAAAAATTTTAAGATTTGAAGGTCCATTTGACATAGGAATTCGATAATTTTTGTATGGTTGGACTCCCTCGGAACGGGTGTTCGGATTTCGTATGTTTTTTGAGATTCGGGATGTGGGCCCCATTGTTGATTTTTGAGATAAATTTTGGATTTTAATCCGAAAATTAGTAAGTTCATATGGAATTAATTCCTACGATTTGTATTGAGTATATTGAATTGTTTATGACTAGATTGAGGATTTGGGACACGAATTCGCGAGGCAAATGTTTATTGGAATCTTGAATTTGGTTGCAAAGCGAGGTAAGTGTCGTGGTTAACCTTGACTTGAGGGAGTAGGATTTATTTGTCTATTTGCTACGTGATTTAATGTGCGGGTACAATGTATATGTGAGGTGACGAGTACTTATGCGTTGTGGTTGAGTCAAAGCATGTTGGAGGAATTTATTTCATTTTTAATAATTGCCTATTTAATTAAGATATTCCTGCTTAAGTTTATTATTGATTATTTGATCATTATTCATGAAATGTTTATTGATTTAATTATTGTTGAATATGGTGAGAAAAAGTGTAAAAGCACGAAGGGTGATGACGTGTCATTTTTTTAATTTATACTATCATTGTCATGGTGAGAAAGAGTGTAAAAGTACGAAGGGTGTTGCCATGTCATTTTTTAGTGTAAAAGCACGAAGGGTGATGTCGTGCCAAAAGAGAGTTAAAGCACGAAGGGTGATGCCGTGCCAATTATTATTATTATTTATCAATTTATGGGAGGAATGAGAGTAAAAGCATGAAGGATGGTTCCATGCCATTTCATATTATCAGTTGCTCATTTTATTATTGATGAATTAATTGGCTGCTAAGTGATATTTCTCCTGCTGAAATTATTATATCATTCCCCTTCGCATGTCCCCTCCCAATTTATAAATTGTTATTTATCGTATTTTGTTGCTTCGTATTTGTATATACTTGTTCTGTATGTGTCTTGTCATAGCCTCGTCACTACTTTGTCGAGGTTAGGCTCGACACTTACGAAGTATATGGTGTCGATTGTACTCATACTACACTCTGCACTTCTTGTGCAGATTTTGGAGTTGGTCCCAATGGCGTACCATAGTCGTGCTTGGATTCAGCTACTCAGAGGAGACTTGAGGTATAACTACACAGTGTTCACAGTTCTGAAGTCCCCTTCTATCTTATCTTTGTTGGGTATTATCTTTCAAACAACTTGAATTTTATTCAGACCTTATTTTTATTATTCTAGTAGCTCGTGCACTTATGACACCAGATTCGGGGATGTATTGTGATGATTCGGTAGTTATGGTCTTCCGCACTTTGTTTCAGTAATTGACTTCTGTTTAATTTAATTTTCTTTAAAAAAATGGTTGAGATTATTTTAACGTTGGCTTGCCTAGCAAGTGAAATGTTAGGAGCCATCACGGTCCTGAAGGTGGGAATTTCGGGTCGTGACAAGTTGGTATTAGAGCACTAGATTACATAGGTCTCACAAGTCACGAGCAAACTTAGTATAGTCTGCAAGATCGGTACGGAGACGTTTGTACTTATCTTTCAGAGGCTATGAAGTTTAGGAACAATATCACTTCTTTCTTATTCTATCATGTGATTTTATTCTATCGGCGATGATTGAACCATTCTATTCTTATTCTTTCGCAGATAGTGAGAACACGTAATACATCTACCGACGGACATGGACCAGAACCCCCGGTGGCAACTATGACCAGGGGTAGAGGTCGAGCCCGAGGTCGTGCTAGAGGCCGAGGCAGAGGCAGAGGTAGAACTCAGTCTAGAGCTCAAGCAATAACACCTGTTGTAGAACCTCAGGTAGATCTTCAGGAGGAGGTTCCAGCTTAGACTGTACCTGTTGTACCAATTCAGGTCCCGGAAGGATTCATAGCTACTCAAGTGCTTCAGGACGCTCTAGTCCGTTTGGTGAGCCTTATGGAGGGTATGGACCAGAATGGTACATTTCCAGTGGCACCAACCATCTCACATGCTGGGGGAGGAGCACAGACTCCCACTACTCTAGCTCCGGAGAAGATGACTCCCCAGTATCAGGCTCCAGAAGCCCTGCCAGTTGGGGTAGTTCAGTCAGTTGTTGCGGCACAGGCCGGTGATAGGCCCGCCATGTCTTCTGAGGCCTTATTGAGACTGGATAAGTTTACTAAGCTATTTCCAGTTCACTTCAGTGGTACACCTTCTGAGGACCCACAAGATTATCTTGACCGCTGCCATGAGGTATTGGGGAACATGGGTATAGTTGAGACCAATGTGTTCGCTTTTGCTATATTTTAGATGACGGGTTCCGCCAAGAGGTGGTGGAGAGATTATACTATGACCAGAATAGTTGGATAGCCTACATTGACTTGGGAGCAGTTCTCTCGGCTATTTCTAGAGAAGTTCCTCCCTATCATATTGAGAGAGGATTACCGCAAGCAATTTGAGCATCTCTAACAGGGAAGTATGACTGTTACTCAGTACGTGACCCATTTTGTGGATCTAGCCCGCCATGCTCTCCTTTTACTACCTACGAAGGGAGAGAGAGTGAGGAGGTTTATTGACGGACTCGCTCACCCCATCAGGCTTTATATGGCCAAGGAGACCGGAAGTGAGATTTCTATTCAGGAGGCTGCTAATGTTGAGAGGTGGATTGAGATGGTTTTTGCATAGGAGAGAGGGGAGGGGTCTGATAAGATGCCTCGTCAGTTCGGTGGGTTCAGTGGTGCCACATCTGGAGGCATGGGTAATGTTGGTAGAGGCCATCCTCCCAGTCCGTTTCATTCAGCACTCCATGCATCCCACAGTGCTTCAGGTGGTCACAGCCCTCACGTGTCTCATTCTGACCAGCTAGCTTACAGTGCACCACCAGCTCTTATTAATGCACCTCCGATCCGGAGTCATCAGAGTGGTTATCCAGGTCGACATGGCATGTTCCAAGGTCAGCAGTGATAATATACGAGGACATATTATACTTGTGGTGATCCGAGACACATTGCTAGATATTTCCCTCGAGCATCATGCAGTTCACAGCAGCAGAGTTCTCGTGCAATGATTCCAGCACCAGCTGTTCCGCCACCCGCCCAGCCAGCGAGGGGTAGGGGTCAGACAGCTAGAGGTGGAGTTCAGGCCGTTAGAGGTGGAGGCCAGCCAGTTAGAAGCCATCCCAGGGATGCGGTTTAGAGTGGTGGGGCCAGCCCCGATTTTATGCTTTTCTAGCTAAGCCTGAGGCTGAGTCATCCGATGCAGTGATCACAGGTATTGTTCCAGTTTTCCATAGAGATGCTTCAGTTCTATTTGATCCAGGATCTACTTATTCTTATGTGTCCTCCTATTTTGCTTCATATCTGGTTGTGCCTCGTGATTCTCTGAGTGCTTCTGTGTGTGTCCACACTAGTGGGAGATTCTATAGTAGTAGATCATGTCTATCATTCGTGTGTGGTTACTATTGGGAGTTTGAGACTAGCGCGGATCTTCTACTTCTTGATATGGTAGATTTTGATGTCATCTTGGGTATGGATTGGTTGTCACCTTATCATGCTATATTGGATTATCACGCCAAAATGGTGACCTTATCCATGTTGCGGTTACCTCGACTACAGTAGAAAGGGACTCTTGGCCATTCTACCAGCAAGGTCATCACTTATGTGAAAGCTCGGCGTATGGTCGAGAAGGGGTGTCTAGCTTATTTGGCTTATATTCGCGATACCAGCGCGGAAGTTCCTTCTATGGATTTAGTTCCAGTTGTCCGTGAAT